AAACACTGACTGTATATGAAAGATGGATATAGTTTCTGGATCTGAAAAGTTTTTAATGACCAGCAGGGGGCTACTTCTCTGGTTGTATAGAAGTCTTTGGAATAGAAACCTTTCAAATCATTTATGACCTTACTAATACTTTCCTGGCAGCTTTATGATCTTAGTCACTAATTTCAATCTCACTGATTGGTTTATTGACTGACAGCATGATGTTAGTTTTCTAAATTATGGCCTATATCGAAGTCCAAAGGGAGAAAAATGCAGGGTTTGGTTTAGCATGGGTCTACCTTGAATCAAAGCTGCACTGCAACCATCATGTTCAGTTTCAAAACTCCAAGACCCCGATGGACTCAGCTTGAGGCTTTTTATTAGAGCACCTAAGCAAGGACTGGGTGAAGTCTGTGGCTACATCCATCTTTTATATACAGTCCATTGTTCAAACAGGGTTACTTATGAATGATACGTTGTCATTATACGTGAGCTTATATACGTTAATTTCCATCGTATACCCTTTCTTGTTTCTCATACTAGAAACCAGAACTAAAAAAACATTTTCAGAGTTTAGCAGAGCAGCATGAAAGCAGGGTGTTTTTTTTCCGTCAGAAGCCAAACATACCAGGAATTCATTTTCTAAAAATCCCTCTCAGCTCAAAATCAAAACACTGTTTTGTCATTTCATTCATCATTGGGAGATTCCTTTTGGTAAATGAATTTGCACTAAACAGATTGCTTCAGAGAAAAATTAATACAAGTGTTTGAAGTAAGAGATGAAGAGCTTATAGACGGTGCAGTGGATCAACAATCAGAGAACAGCAAATCCTTTGAGCCATCCCACCAAATACCACCCAAGTCAAAGTACCACCCAGCTTGAAAGAGAAACAGAATTCATCATCAGTTTGACTCCGCTGTGTTTTGTCTCCGAGCTCTGTGTAGTTTTCATTGGCCAAATTTACTACAGTGTGTCTGCTGGTTGTGTAACCGTCCCACCCCCAAGGAAGTAAGAGGAAGTAGCCCAGTGCGTCTACCCTGCACACCCTTGCTGGTCTTCAGCTGACCTCAGCTCTGTTCTCGATCTCGGCAGGATGACAGAGCTGCTGAGGAATTTCTCTGCCCTGTGCCTAAACCAACCTGCCAGGATGCTCTCTTTAGGCTCAGCACGTTCCTCAGTTACGTCCCTGCCGACTCTCACATGGCCCCGCTTTGTTGAAATATGACCTTCAAATACCAAACCCTGCCCTTAGTAACGTCTCCAAACACTGTCCACCTACGTGCAGATGCATCCGGAAAATGTCTCTCCTTGCCACAGCAGGCTGCAGGCACATGGCAGACCGGTCCCTTCCACACCTAACCTACCTGTACGCTTGATTATATTTGCTGAGCCTGAATGAAAAGTAGTGCCAAACTCCTTTTTTTTCTTTTCTTTTTTTCCTTTGGCTTCGTCAGGCTTGTGTAAGCCTAACTCAAGACTCTGTCCAGATGTTGGTGTGAAGCTACACAGCTGAGCAAACAGCCACTGTCTTCTCTGCAGCATGACATGCTTAAAATGACATGCTGGGCCAAAAAGACCAGCTGAAATCTGACAGAGTTAAAGGTTAACATCTTAACTTCAGAGATGGTAAAGTTAGCCTGACCTACAAATGGGCAAAACTCAAATGTTAACTTCAGTGGTGAAATATGAAGATAAATACATACATTTGTTTACTTTAATGATAGTGTAGACTTTAACCTCATAAATCTTCCATGCTGATTATACGTCAGTTAATGTATAATAGTGTCACATATTAAACAGTGTAGACAGTTTTTTGATATCACAGGTTAACCTTTTATCATAAACCCTTAAAACAAAAATGACCCTTTCAAACATTAGTGTATTCATTAGTCAATTTTAAATATAATAAAATACTACTAGTGAAATAATTTAGTAATAATAGTAGAAAATGTGTTCAAAGGCAGAGATACTTTCATCTTGTTTGTGGATTTTTGCTTTTCCCCACCTCAGATTTCACAGTGATTTTGACATTATGTTTTTAGCAAAATACCTTGTGAAATATTAAGAAGATGAAATCTGGGTTAAGATGATTCTAATGTGTTTTTTATCCAACACCTCTAGCAACTCAGTTTCATGTCAGTTATCAGTTCAAGTGTTATCATCTATCATCCTTGACATTTCCAGTTGTAGCACAAGTTAGATGGCCTTTTTGTTATAAAAATACAGACATTACTTTAAAAAATACAATTTAAAATACATTCACTTTTAATGCAGTGCTATCACCAACACTAAAATTATGCTGTGGTAAAGAATATGCCTGAATAAATGAACAATGTAAATCAGATTGTGAGACTTTGAACCCCTGCACTTAATACAACCATGGCCACGGACTCTTAGTCTTCATTTATTTTTGTCTGTGAGCATGCTGAGACTTTTAAATCTCTGCTGCAGATATCCTCTGCTGAAATAGTCACAGTCTGTAAATATTGTCTCCAAAATGCCTGGACAGACTGAAATGGAGTCGACTTAATAGGAGCAGGGGGGATTTTTTCCAGACAGTTTCAATAACATAGACAATCTATTCTGGCAGGGAAGCACCTTGGCAACTTCCAAACCATTTCAATTGTGTCTAATCTCCCCGGTTCGCTTCTTTTTTAAGCCGAGGCTGAGCTCTGTTCCGTTGCAAATACCCAACATCTGTGCATTTAACGGCGCATACATTGTCTGGGGCCTGTTTTCCAGTGCATCACTCAAAACCACTTCATAATGTACAAAACCTGCACGAGTAAGTAAAGACATCTTTGAATCAGACAAACCATCATCCACTCAAAGCGAACGTGATTGGAGCAGGTTTGCTTTTTTTTTCTTCCGTCACTCATTGCTGTTTGAAACCGTCTACTGCTTGCTGCAAAAACACGGTTGCCTTTAGAAAAAAAAAAAAAATTTCAGCAACACGCTGGACATCCTCCCTGGCGTGATGTGTCAATCCTCCCACTCAGACAAAATATCCCAGAGCTATTAAAAACACCTCATCCCGGACAAGCCCCCGCGCATGTGAGTCAAACCAAAATGTGGTGAATTCTGAGCCAAGAAGGATTTTACAACCCTTTTTTAAAATATGCATCGAAGAAGAGAATTGGAAAAGGCCTCCATTCATCATGCTCTGACTGTGTTTTAGTAGATATGGCAAGGATGCAGAAGATCTTGTGTCTTCACAGAGCGTCTGCCTGCAGGCCTGTTTGTCTCTGAGGCCGCACACTGAGGATAGAAACTGCTTTAATCCTGCAGTGTGCTTATGAGTTATCTCAGATCTTACATCACAGCTGTTGTCCAACTGTGATGTAAGATCTGAAACTGTCAAAAGTATAATTTATACTACTTTTCATATAGTAAATCAACAGACAATCTTGAAAAAAATCCAAACATATTTTGGCATTTTCTAACATGAAACTTTGATTTGTAATGTAATGCATCAACACATCAGACTATATTTTCAACACTGTTTTATCATGTGAACATTTCCATTCACTCAGTTATACACTAACACACACTTGTAGAAACATACTCATAACATACATCCTTGACAATTTAACATAAAACGAGTATTTGCAGTTTTCTAATATGTCCAAGTTAAAGGATGAGCTGGATGTGGTTGTTTGTTTCCTGTTGTCAACAGATCCCCTGAAAAGATTAAAATGAAGGATTTCTACTAGGCCTTGTCTGTGTTTATTCAAAACCTGATGCATGTTATTCATCTGCTCCCAAGAGCTCCACTGAAAAATATTCTGAGTCACACTCTTTAACCGGCTGACTTATTTCTTCTTTTATCATCAACATGGATGCTGTGGTTTATTTTTACTGGAGTCTTCATTCACTATCCGGCTGCCATAAATACTGCTGTTTGAGTAGTGTTCGCTTACTTAGTGTGCTGCAGTTTTAGAAAATTATGTTTTTTTTAAAGCCACATATATTATACATATGCAGTGTGATCCTATAGAAGGCCAGGATCACACTACACAATAGTCACCCAGTAAGAGCTCAGTCCTGGGACTAAAAATGGGCTGCTTTGACCCATGGGGTGTTTTGTAGTGACCTATTGGAGAATACAACTTCTCTTTGTCTTTGTAAAACCTTCCACCATGTGTTGTGGATCTTCTTCTCAGTTTTGGTTTAGATGTTTTTCCATGATAATTGTTGACAGTAGCAACGATCTAGAATATCTTTTATGTAAAAACCTCTTAACATCCACCAGATTGGATGGTGATCTGTTTAGGGTTATGTTTAGGATGTCTCTGAGCCACAGGCTAATAAGCAGGTTTCAGATTATATCAGTAACCTTTAAGATGTGGTTTCATACATGTGTTCGGACCTTCTATTATAACTAATGTAGCTCCTGTATTATAAGAGGAGCTAACCTTTTTCTTATTTTTTCTTATATACAAGGTATGGTCAAAAAGCTCCAGGAACACTATCATAAAATAACAAAACAAACAAACAAACACAAAAACATACCTGATTTAATTTCAAATTGAAGACCGACTTCCTTGGTGGTACTTGCTGGTAATTAGAATTGGACCTCCAGCTATGACCCAGCAGTTTTCAGTTGAAGCGTCCTAAGTTTCCAAGCCCGATGGCGACACTTCAGGTCAGGAGTGTGACGAGGAGTTTTTGGAGGGGGTTTGGAGGGTGTTCCATGAATTCACCCGTCATGACCAGACTATCAACATGGAGTTCTACAGTAACATCCTAAGTTGTCTACAGGACAACGACAGACGTTATAAAACATCACTACTTTGCCTGTTGGCTCTGAAGCGTCAACCTTAGTGTTTTGGTTGCCATGGTTTTTCAAGCCTGATTTGTAGAGCATTTGATGATATCTGATGTACAGTTTTACAGTGGTTGATATTCATATGATCAAAGTTTCAAATAATAATGTCACTGTATGTGGAAGTACTGTACTCCCTGTGATCCACAAGATCAGGCATCAGACTGCTCTAAATGCGTGGTCAGCTTTTTTCCCCTAATATGGTCACGCCTAATATATCAGGCTCTGGGTGTGAGCAGACCAACCCGATCCAACGTGATGTTTAAGGAAGGGCAGCCAATCACTGCTGAAATCCAGGGGACCTTGTTTTGAACTGGTAATCACACAAAACTCCTCTAGTAGAGAGGAAGAACAAATTATGGAGCTGACAATGAGCAACATTAAACCTTATCCCTAAAAGAGTTTCCCCAAAAGAGTGGATGTTATAAGGTTAAATAAAACTCTAGATGTTAATAATGTGCACATAATAGTAACAAAAATCAGAAAAAAACATTAACAACGACATCAAATGACAAACAATACACACATTTCAAGCGAGTAAGTAGCACTTAAAGGAAGAAACGTGTCTACGAACAGTATTTGTATTTGTTAAGAAAAACAAACCAAAACATAATTTGTAACCAATCGTAGCACATTTCTAGAAATACACAATCAAGTAATTCTGATGACATCACTAGTTCCATATACAAAGTTTGTGTAAACTCATTTTGCATTTATTCTGAATAAATGCAACCCCAAGACTTCATAGCAGGAATGCAGCTCACCATTACAATACAACATTTTACCAACTGCATAAACCTTTTTTCACTGATGTCGTTGAGCCTGTGCAGTACAGACGGGGTCTTACTGCCAAACTTCTGCATGTTTCCAGAAAAATTAATATTTCAACCCCTGAAAACAGATAAAGAGAAAATCATTAAGCATTAGGAATTAGAATAAAATATATTTGATACAGCTTTGATGCAACAACCTGATAGTTTTCACTAAAACATTTCTGGGAAATGTCCCAGATTTTTGGAACCACTAATTTAAACTAATTTGGATAACATATATAAAGAGACATCTCGTGTTGACTAAATCTGAAATATTTACCAAATGAATCATTCATTCCAGTTCAATAAAGGGAATGTGGTGTTTAAAATGTCCAGAGTACAAAAACACAGCCTACAGTCACATGAAAAGGAAAGTGTTTGCAGTACGAGTGCAGTCCTGTGAAAACCTAAGATACAAACCTAAGATGTGCTTTCATCTTTTTTTCTTTTTGGTTTCTTCTTCTTCTTCTTTGTTTAAGAAAGAAGAGACTTTCTCCTGTTAGCCCTTCCAAATAAACCATGTTCAATCTTTTTTCAAAGTGGTGTTGTGAACTTTAATCTTTTAAATGCTGTGTGGCCTGTAGAGTCGGAGATGCAGCCGTCTGTTTTTTTGCTGTTTCTGAGAATTGCAGTCTGACCTTGAATTTGCTGAGATGTCAACTCCTAGGAAGATTGTGGCACTGGGTTAACACAGACCAACAAACTGACAAAGCTTCTGCTTGCTCACACTTGCTGTTGATCAGTTAATCAAATCTATTCGATTAGCAGCACTTTAGCTGCTACTTACCTTCCTAATTCTTATGAAAACAGGGTGGACTTGGTTTTTCACAGGACTGCACTGAGCCCTCTAAAAAGCATTGTTTTTCACTCGAATCTATGCTACGATCATGCTCAGAGAAACCCTCTTATAATACCTCGTTATTCGACAGTTGCGTGTCTGAACATAAACGCCTGTGTAAGTAATATCACATCTCACTACGTTGTTGTTGAAGTCTGACTCCAGGATGTGGAAATTGGGATTGACTGTAACCTGACAAAAAAAATACATAAATCATGAATAAATTCTGTAGCAGGAGGTTATAAACATTTATTTCTGTGTTGTGAAATACACATACAGAGAACGAACATGTGACACACCTTCAAGATGTAGTTTCCTGGAGGCACATCAGTGATGTCAATCCACTGACAGTCGATGTTGGCAGCGTAGATGTCATGGCAACCTGGGCTCAGACCCTACAAAACACAGTCACCTCAGTGAGGTTTTATAACTTGAACAGGCGCACGCATATCTGTCATAAGAAAGCATTAACCTTAAACATTATATAGAGTCAGAATCACAGAGCTCACGCAAAAGATACGATAAATATTCCTGTGGCAACAGGATGTTTAGTTTTATTGGAATAAATGTTCTAGTTAGAAAAACATTTCTCTGAAGTGGATTTGGAGGATTTGCAAAAGACAAAAAACACAAAAGCATCTTTATTTCTAATGTGATAAACTAAACAGAAGGATCAGAAGTCTGCTGAATAGCTTATGAACTTTTTTCCATTGTTACATATTTTTCTTTTTTTCTGTGTGTGTTATTTTATTACTCAGCCTCTCATTTCAAATACCTCCTCCCGTTTCTCCTGTTTGATTGCGTGCTCCGCCCTAATGCGTCCCACTGCCTCTAACTGTCTTCCCTGTGTATTTAAGCTGCATGTCTTCCCTTTTTTCCCTTCCAGACTGTCTTAGTGTGCAATTTGCTTTCCAACATGCTCTTAATGAGCGCTGCCTTGTGTTTTCTACCCAGTTCTGTTTCCTGATATCTGGTTTAGTCTACTCCTCGTGCTTTTGTCTGTCTGGATTCATCACCTGCACATCAGACTCACTTTTACCTCAATAAAGACTCGTATTTTCTCCTAAAGCTCTTCATAAAAGTATCTGGGCCTTCAGAATAATGCAAATGAACACTTGCAGTTGTTTTCCTATTGAACTACTTTAAAAAGTCCTACCCATTCTTACTTTTCTTGTTTAGCTCTTATTTGCTATTTAAAGTGGGTCTCCAGTGATTTTACAGCTCAAGTATATTTACTCATCATGGTGAGTGGCTGTGAACACAGCTGTTTAATGTCGTCTGTGGCTGTGAAGGAGCTTTGTGAAATAAATGGCGAGAAGCCTGCGAGCCAGTTCAGTCAACTCAAGCAGCATTGCTTCAGACACACGTGACATGTCTCACTTTCCTCACATCACCCTCCCAATTTGGTGGTTTGTTTAAGCTTCATAATTTGCAATCTCTGTCCTGCACTGCTGCTCCTTCCACTTCCTTAAAATCTGCCTGTGCATATTTAAGTATCAGTAGTGTCCCGGAAGTGTGTAAGTGCTGTGCACAGCTTTACAGATCCACATTGTCAGGGGGCAGGGTCAAAACTCTGTAGAGGAACCGGTGAGCTACTTTACATGTTTTTGCTGTTGGGCCTGATGCAGTCATAGTATACAAAGAATGTGTCTGTACCGGAGTTACTGTAGTTTTTTAATTTGTTTTTTATTTTTATTTCGATTTGATATGGTTTTTTTTTTTCAGTTTCTTTACAGAGTGAGTTTTCATATTTCATTTTAGTTAGTAAAATTTTAGTTTTAGTTTAGTTTTTATTAATTTCAGTCATAGTTCTAGTTTTGTTTTTTAATTTTCATTGCATGGAGAGAGGCAATATTTAGGAAAATCAATGCAATACAAATACTGACTCATAGTCTTGTAGACATTCAGAGCTTCAGTAAATGCCCATCAATGCCTCTTCAGGCATTAATCAAAGTAACAGATACTAAAACTAATGATGTTTTCTCTACATTTACATATTTTATTGCAGTTAGTTTTCCAAGTTCGCAAAATCATTTCAGTCTGCTATTTTTTTTCCAAAAGTCTAGTTTTTATCTATTATTTTATTTTATTTATTTATATTTATCCATGATGGGTTTTTTTCTTGTTTCTCCTTCAGTTTATTTAGCCAGTCAGCTTTCTACGGTTAGCGACATCATCTTCGGGCTGCAAGCCGTTGGTTTTCTGGAGGACTTCGCATAAATGTGTCTGTGTAGTCTCTGTGCTGGCTGAATTGTGTGAAGTTAGAGCTTTGGATGGATGTTTCACAGATACGTGAAGCCATAATTCCTGCATTACTCATCACTTTCAGGCTTTTACATGTAACAGATTTGCAGGGAGAGTATATTTTTCTGCTGCTGTAATAAATCATTTTACACCCGGCTTGTCTGATTGAGCTGATCTCACCATGAACTTGAAGACCTCAAATATACCAGAATCCTGGAGAGTCCAATGCAAAAAATACTGCTTGAGTTTGGCACAAAGGTGGTGATAGTTGATATATAGCAAGTCTCTACTGCTGTTTTAGTCTTTACTTTACAGGGTAGTTCAGAGAGCAGAGAGTGGGGGAACAACACCCAGGAAATAGCCTGAAGCAAATTAGACTTCAGCCTCCATGCTTCACCTGAGGTGCATAGGTCAGCGATAGCAGTAGCTTTACATTTAAATTTAAGTGCATGTAAAAGTATCTCCGTCACAAATCTCTTTTTACCAGATCGGGAATGATGCATCTCATCTCAACTTTAAACCTTCACTTCACAAAGATCTTAAGACTTTGCATGTCTACTGTTGACCTATCCCACAAAGTTATGGAGGGTTCTTCCTGTTAAAAAAGACTTTATCTCCACACTGCCCTCAAATGAAGTTGGGCTATGAAATCTTGCGAGAACTGTTGTAAATCCGCAAGCATTCCGACTCAGAAAACAAATAGGTGGATGAATGTTTTAAATAAAATTAAACCTAACTGAACTGAGCATCTTCTTTCTTTATCTTTTTCCTCAGCTCTCGTGTAAAACAGATATCAATCCGTGCGGCGTTATATCACATAACATATGATGGTGTGCTACCTGCGTATGAGCTGTACAGGCGTAGCGTCGCCTGAATCCAGGATCACAGTTCGTGTCCTCCAGACAGAAACTGGCCTTGTGTCCCTCTGCCACTTTACGTCCTGTGATAACATCCAGCAGATCGTAGTTGCTGAAGGCGTCCATGCTGTGGTAGTGTCTGTGGGTGCAAAACAGATGGAAAAGAATCAATAGCGGATATTTTGTTATGGCTCAGGAATGTCTAAAAAACCCGCAATTTTATTGTCTTATGTGAATTTTGAGGGTTTGGTGTTCTTCCTAGTTTGTCATATCTGAATGGCTAATCCCTTTTTAAAATTTTTTTTTTAAGAAAAAGGATTTAGGAGTCATCAAACTCACTGGTGACAGCTGTGCCAGTCCCACTGATATCTGGGCTTGAAAGGGAGGAAGTCAGCGGTGCCTTGGTTCTTCACTTTCTGTGGAAACCGCAGGAGGACTCTGAAGTTGATGTCTCGCACAGTGGGTCCATAAGCCGATCTTGGATGAATCACAGGAGAAAAAAGCGTAAGCTGCATTGGAAAAGTGCTACTGGCTGAGCTCCCAGGTCTAGTTTTCTTAAAAGTAACAGAGCGCAAAGGGTTTGTTCCATTGTGCTTAATGCTTTTGGGAAAACCAAACCAGAACATTTATGTCTTGGCAGGACATGATGTTGGACAGTCATGTTGGACAATCATTGCTACGTAATAAGATCAAATGCTTTTGTAACTCGCTTAACAAAACAGTTATCCCAGCATGCTTAACAGCTTACACTGGCATAATTGAATGCAACCCTAAAACAACTAAAAGTTGTTCTTAAGCACGTAAAACGGATCCCCACTGAGAAAAAACAAAACAAAGGACATAAGTATGCGTGTCTGCCTCAGTGTCTACGTGCTGCTCTGTTCATACTGAAGAAGTGAATCACTTCTGGCACCTCAGATTACCTGGCCAGACAGTTCTCCTCAGCTGCACAGCGAAGCGCGTACATCTGCATGCGCTGGACATAGGTACCTGCTTGGATGGCATATGGGTCTGGCACAAGGTCTGGCAGTCCTGTTGGGAGGAGATTAAATGGACAGTCCAAGTTTTTTTTTTTCCTCCTGACATCTTAATGTTCCCAACTTATTCAGGCTGAGAATAATCCACAGAAATAGACACCCTGGAAATGTAAGCTGCTTTGTGTTTGTTGGCATAATTTAACATGTTTCACATTCCTTACAGCTCCAAAAGCCAAATAAGACTTTTTTTTCTCTCGCTCCTTGGCTTTTTGTTTAAGGTGAGACATAAAGTTATGAAAATTGTCCTTAAATAATCAAACAAGCAGATGATTTTAAATATAACAGTGTTTTTGTGTGTCCATAGAACCGTTACATGAATGTAAAGCCAGTAATATTCATGCCAAATAATGGATAACAAGCTGTTTTAAAGTAGTGGCCAAATTAACACTAAAACAGGTTTTGCTTGCTGGAATTATATTATTTTAAAATATTGATCACAGACACAGTTTCTTAATCCACTCTTAATTTTAATAATTTACATTGCAAATCTATCCATTTGGCTAACTATATGAAATATAAAATTTGAAGAACAGCTAACAAATATCAGGGATCTCAAACTCATTTTACATCGTGGACGTTCATGTGAAGTGGGCCTGATCAGTGAAACGAAATGATTAAGGTGTAAAGGCTCTGTCTTGTTATCATAAATTTAGAATATAAAGTTTTCATTAATTCACAGAAAATGTACTTTTATGTAGTATGAATGGATCAATAGCAAAAACTGTAAAACTTAATAAATTACTTTTAAAAGTTCAAAATCTGAACTATCCTTTACACCGTCCCGTGGGCCAGACAGAGGCCTTATGTCTGACACCCCTGATCTACATAATCTGACTTCTCTAATATTATATAAATGGAACACTTGACCTACCGTTTTGGAAATATCCTGTGCCGTACCCTGTGCCAGGCGGACGGAGGGTGCGGGCCGCTGACCTCCCTCTGGTCGGATACATGTTGTAGAAAACAGAATTCCTGTGGTTTTTAAGCGGGTTTCGAGGGTCGTCATTGACCATGTCCTCTCCATTGCTGTTTTCCTCAGTAAGTGCAGGAAATACAGCCGGTGCCTCAGACTCATTTTCCAGACCTGACGGGTTTGCTGAGATGGAGCGATCAGTCTGAGCAGGTTGCCTGGAGACGGGTGTCACCTCCGGCCCCGCGCGTAACTGTTGGTTTTGCGCACCAGGTCCGGATTCACCTATTCTAGTATGTAGTGCGGTATTATCCACAGTGACAGAACCTCCATTACCGCCAGAAAAATCTGTTGAACTCCCCGGTGAAGAGGCGTTCGTGGTTCTGGTGAATTCACCATTAAAATGGCGTGCGCCTGGATGTCTTACAACTGCTGCTGTAGGGCGTTCAAGTCGCTGTCCGAACCCTGACGCATGACGATTCACCGGCGCATACGGTCTAACATCGTGTCCAGGTGTGAGAAGTCCCGACTGTGCACTGTTATCAGTCCTGAACTGTCTGGATTCATTTGGTCCGGTTCTCACAAGCGTCATTCTTCTGCGCGCTCCAGACATCTGGGTCCCGGTACCATCCCTCCGACTGCTCACGTAAACCCTCGACTGGCTGGTGGACCGATACGGAGCCTGGTACTCCAGCCCAGTGCTCATTAAACTGTAAACCTGCCCGTTGTTCTCCCATTGAATCCGGTGCCGCCAGGGGCCAACCGTGCGCTGCTGCCCAAAGCTGAGGGGGAGTAGTCCTTGGAAAATATATAAAAATAAAAGTGATCGTTTAGCCATGGCAATTAAACTTAATAAATTAAAGCCTACGTGTAAGTTAGCAAACATCACGTAAGTTTGCGGGCACAGACGTTGAAGCTTCGTGGAGAATGGATTAAAATCGGCAGTGCGCTTCCAGTTTCAGCTCTGACACAAAACAACATAGCACTTCTCAGGAGGACTGAGAGATGGAGAGGAGAGGAGGGCTGAATCCGTTTGTCGAATTCAGTCCAGTTACTTTCACTAAGTCAAGCTTCTAAAGAATTTAACCCATTCCTTGCTGTGGTTACGTGCGGTTAGACAAGTACGTTTGCTGAGTAAATTTCACGCAAGGGTGTAAACTTAACTCAGCCAAATGCATCACCTCGAGCTGGTAAAGCTCAGGGAACACTAAAGAACACAAAAGGATATGAGTTGTTGTGTTTAAGTAATATTTTTTGTTGAGCAGAACTTTTTTATTTCAATATCACTCCTTGTTATTTGACACGTTGATCACGGCTAAAATGCGAAAAAGCTAAAGATATCTTTATATGGAGTTAAAAAATCACGCACGACCAGTTTATCAAGCTAAAAACCCCACAAACGAACAAAAACAACAACAACAAAACAACGATAACAGTTGACCGTTTCAAATGAAACATGAAGACATGCAACAATCTGGAAAAACTTTACATTGCGTAAATAGTCTTATTGACCACAAGGTGGCACTTTGCATCTGTATCAGACCATCCCAGTTTGCAGTGCCCTAACAGCTATCACGGAGGGAGCCCGTTCCCATAAAATATGTCCATCTTTTCTTTTGTCATTTATGACTATAACTCTTTTTTAAGGCTAGCTGCACAGGTTTTAAACACGCTTCTGTTTGTTATGCTCAAAGGTGTTTCTTTGGGGATTTCTTTTCAAAGCCTATGGTCAGTGCCTTCATTGTTCAGCTATACCTTTTTTAAAAAAATCAATATATTACCAAATAAATAATACAAGCAAGCTATTATGTTTAATCTGATTCCAGATTTAAATCCTACATAATATAAATATATTTTGCATCTTTTCTGTTTTATTACAGATAATATGATCTGTCTTTACAAATTTTTAACCCACTCTTTAAAAACAAAATACAGTTCATTTGCCCTTATCTGGAGCAGAACAGTATCATGTATATTTAGCTGAAACTGCACCACATGGTATTTGAAAGTGAGGTGGAGATTTTATCGCAAGGGGTTAAAGTTAGGTTTAAGATGGAGCGGAGTGTTGTGTAACAGCGTGAAGTTGGCTCAATGGGTCTGCAAGGCTGCAGTTGGACCTGATAGTAGCTGTGTTCGACACACAAGCTGCTTGGGTTCAAGCTTAAACACATGTTTGGTGTATACTATTATACCTTGTTTTTAAATTAAGTGTGCCAGAAATGCTGGCGTCTCCCACTGCTGCTCTGGACTTTCTGCCCCACGATGCTCTCTGCCAGCTACACAACAGCAGAGCCTGAAGGTAAGCAGGTCAAAGCTCAAGGCACAATGTTAAGATTGTTACGATGAGCTAGTATGTCCCAATCACATTGTATGAACTGCTATAACAGTATGAACCTTGTGAGAGGATCTGTAGTAAGTACTGAAAGAAAAACATCAGTCTGCTATTAGGAGCTCAACAGCTGTCTTAAACATCAGCAATTACAAGACGCAGTGACTATGCACAATAACGAAACACTGTCTTGTTCCAGACAAGTCCAATATATTAAAATGATTATATAAGTCCCATTTCATGCTCCCTATTTTTTAAACTACAGTAAGAAAAACCACTCAGCAACACAGAAAGTGGGAAGAAATTAGAGAACCAAAAACAAGAAAAGCACAACAAAAGCAACAGACATACAAATCTTATAATGGACGTTTGTGCTGCTGTGTTAGTTCCCTTTAAGCCAGACGTTTTCTGATTGGCTGTCCCATGCAAACAGAAGGTGTGAAGTTTTTGGCTCACAAGAAGTTCCTTTATGTCTACCCAATATTAGAACTTTATTGTTTTTTGTAATATTGTGACAGAAAAAGGGAGAGCACAGTACTTTCACTCATTAAAGAAAAAACTTTTTTTTTTAAAAAGAACAGGGACATAAATACAGATAATATTTCATTGTGACAAACAAATATACTTTGATACTTTCTTTTACTGCGTGTCTTAAGTTTTAAATCTGAAAATTAGCTGAGAGTTTGATTAACATCAGCAGGATCTTTTTTTCAGGTAAGGTATGAGTTAGATATGGGTCACGAACAGGTTAAAAGACACTGACATATGGAGAAGTGCTGCTGAAGTGTCGCAGTATCTTTCCTCTGCCAAAAAGGGCATCGAGATGGTGAGCCTTCATGCTTTTCTATTCTTAGCTGGAGAAACCTTCTCTCTTCCAAAGTCTGGCACCGCCCCTGCATCTAGATTTATAACAGACGCAGATCCTCGGCACTGGTTTGGCACAAGACTTCCCGAGCAGGACAAGTAACCCACAAAATGTAGCCAGTAAGTATTAATGTTGAATTAAGTCTTTCTTGTGTGTCTGAACTGAAAGTAAACAAATCACGACAAATGCTGCCACAAAAACTAATCTGTGACTGTGAATTGGGAGTGCTTGGAAATAAAAATAAACAGTTTCTGGTTGTTTTCATGGTACACCTACAGCAGCAGCAGCAGATCCTTCCCCGGGTGACTAATTCTTTTACACTGAATATATCTTATCCCGTGAATCTAGGTATCCAGGGCTGCTCACAGCTTTGCTTCTTGTTAAGGAAGATGATGGTCTTAAAATGGTTTTACCACAAGAAACTTCCCCTACATGGAATATACCTGTTGCTTTCCCCTGAGGCCTCACACTGCCACTCTGAGGAGTATAATGATAGATCCAGAGGGTTTACCACAGATCATGGGGAGACAATACAGGTGAGATACTGAAAAAAAATGCTTGAAAAATGACATTTGTTAGTAAACTGTTTTGGGTTCTGCGCTCATGTGGATGTTTAATGCCTGTTAAAGCAAAAAGCTTTAAATAAAACAAGTTCCTTTTTTAGTGTAACCTGAAATAAAATGCTTCAATGTCTAGTGGAAGATTAATTATAGGCTGTCGGAGCGGCAGAGCGGCAGAGCGTCAGCTTTCTTGTGAAACGCTTCTTGCTTATCTTTGATTAACCCTTGGCACAAATCAGCCCGTCAGCGCTCCTCACATTTCATCAGTGAGACACATGCTGCTGCGTCCATCGTCACGTTTTCATTCATTCATTCACACGTGGCGATTTGTCTGGTGAACTTTTGATATGTAACCTATTAAAAACTGCCTTAATGTGACCCCGGGCCAAAAACTTTGTGTTTTCAAGGTTAAGCTTGTCAGAGTCCTTTTACTTTACTGAGTGGTTCCATTTTTACAGTTTTATTCAACTTTGTTTCATTTAAAACTTAAGATGTGAATAATTTTCCACATTTGGATCATTTGTTAAAATATTCAGTGTGATGTGTTGTAATAAATTAAACAAAACTCTATAAAAGCAGCAAAAACAAGCTGCAACATTACAGCCAATAAATAATAATCATGCCTTATATCTAATACATATATAATATATATTGATTTATTATGGGCTAATCTATATGATGAGCATGTTTTTTAACTTGGTGCTGAAACTTCTGTAAGTTTAAGAAACGTTTCTGAAACCACACTGTAGTATACCAAAGTACTTAAAGGTTGAGCGCTGTTATACATTTTTATGTTCGATGATCAAATCACATTTTTAAAAAACATATTAATAAATGAATCTTGTGTTTACTTGTAAAAATAAACGATCAGCCATGTGGTGTATTGTTTCAAATAATTAACAATGAGCAAGTCAATGAAAATCCAAAACTACATTAAATCACTCTTGCGTGGTACATGTTAAGTATTAAAGACTAAACTATTGAATTTTAGCCTGTTTATGTTAACTAAACAATGTGTCTGCTCCTGAGTAGGTGGAGTGCTCTTCTGCTGGGAGGGTCAATTTGCACTAATTGTGCAGTTTCTAATAGCAACTGTCAGTCATTAATTCATGGAGTGTACAATCATGTGAAAAAAAATGTTTTCACGGGACTCAGTGCAGTCGTGTCAAAAAAAAAACAAAAAACTAAGTACACCCTTACTTCTTCCATAGGAATTAAGAGGGTAATTAGCAGCCAGGTGCTGGTAATCAAATGCACTTGATTAATATTCCTCAGGAACTCTGAGCACCTCTATGAAAGCAAAGGTTTGGCAGTGGACATTTTTCTCAGGAGTGGACATCCCAACAAATTCATTACAAGCCAAAAAACCCCAAAGAACAAGAACCCAGACTCTACAGGCTTCAGTTAGCATGTCAAATGTTAAAGTTCACAATGGAAAAATTAGAAAAAGAGTGAACAGCTGTTGTTTGTTTGGAGGATTTTCTAGGTGAAAGCGTCTTCTCTCTAAAATGAATATGGCACAACAGTTTAGATTTCAAAGTTGCATCTGAACAAACCACAAGAATTCTGGGACGATGTCCTTTGGGCAGATGAGACAACATCGGAGATACTTGGGCAAAATGCAAAGCACCATGTTTGGCAAAAACCAAGCAGAGCAGGGGTTGATGATTTCAGCTTGTATTGCAGTCACATGACCGGGGCATCTTGCAGTAATTGAGTCGACCATGAAGTCTTCTGTATACCAAAGTATTCTAGAGTCAATGTGCAGGTGTCTGTCTCACAGCTAAAGACTGACTGAAACTCCCAAGCACAGCATAAAATCTGCAACAGGATGGATGAAAAAGAGAGGAAATAAGGGGTTACAATGGCCTGGTTAAAATCCAGACCTCAACCTGACTGACATGCTGTGATGGGACCTGTGCATAAACAAATACCTGCAAACCTCAATGAACTGAAGCAAAGAACAGTGAACCAAAATTCAGATAAACAGAAAGTCACTACTTCAAGTTAATGAAGTTTTACTTCAAGTTATTGTTGTTAAAGTTGGTTCTACGAGTGACTGAATAACAGGGTATGGTTCGTTTTTCACACAACTGCATAAAGTCCTGCGAAGCTTTCTTTTACACAACTGTTTTTCCTCCTCACTTGAGTTAATTATCTTCTGCTGCCAGGATCATTTGTTGGTATCAGGTGGGTCGAGTTTCTAATAGTTGCTGTCAATAACACACATACTGCTGGAGGACAGGACCAGAATACAGTCATGTGTGTATTTTGGCCTAAGACCAAAATACACATATGACTCTATTATGGTCAGTCATGTGTTTGACTGGCAGAAGAAGTCATGCAGATTAAGCTAACATGCACTTTCAGCACAAAAGCCTAAATCTTTATTAATTTATCATCTTTTCTTAGAGATATTTAACATTACCCTTTAATACTTGCTGTGTCTGCAGTTCTTTATGTTATCGGCTATTACAAAAATGACAAATCAGTTGAAGATCTCCAATTAAACATTTAATATTTTATAGTAACTCACAAAATTTGTTTGTTTATCACCTACAATTCAACCTTGTGGGATCCATAAGTAAGTATGGAGGTGGGTTTATTAATTTAAAGGAGCTTAAAAGTTATTTGAAAATATTTGAAATGTTTTAATCCCCGCTTATTGTTACACGTGTAAGTCATATGATAGACCACAACTGATTCAGTTGTTCATACATGTTTGTCTCAGTGAGCCACCATAAATTTTCCTGTCATTCATTTACTGGTGAAACCACAACTGTTCACATACCTCAGGGGTCCTCGTTCTCTCATACAGAGGCTCTGCTGAGCTTGTGACAGCCAGTCATCTCCTGTGTCACTGCCTCTCCACCCTAATATGGACACCCCGGCTCTTTATTTGGGGGTTTCCATGGCGTTGGGGTGACGTGGGAGCACATGCCACGTATCGAGGTTCTCACCTTACTGGGCGGTTGCATGAAGGCAGATAGCCCCTGAGTCAGACTGGGCTGCGGAGCCTCGAGTGGGTGTGTGGCAATAAGTGATTTCTGTAGGCATGCTAAATCTATTCCCCTGACACCTCAGGCACTTAGCCTAAATATAAACTAACAGAGCAGCTACCCCCTGCTGCAGGCCAACGCTGGCATGTGAAGACTCCAAGAAACGAATCACAAGACCCTGAACTCTCCCCGACACACCCTCTGTGGATCTGCCAAGTCCAGGGACAGAGCTGGCTGGACTTTTCTCACAGTAATGTACAGTATGAGTAAACTTTTATGACCAAAACCTTTATCCAACACTGAGCTATTGAACTGAGTATTGCTATTGTTGTCACTGGCCCCTTACAGCAGAAATTGTCCATTTAATGGTTTAAAAATGATTCTGTGTCATCAGCTGGAGTAATTAAAACCCCTTATTGTAACCATATAATTAATTTTGGTGCTTGATATTAAAATATCAATAAAAGTGAAAATGCATTGCTCAGTGTCTCCCCTTGTTTCTGTCGGCTGAGGCCGGGGATTGTGCTATGTGGGTGACTCTAAAGGACTTTGAAGAAGTGCAGACATGGTTCACACTGCTGCTTGTTGAAGCTGATGCCAAAAATGAAAGATTTGCTCCTTTATTTCTGTAGGAGTGTTACAGAATAGGTGATAGAGAGGTCGTGTAATGTTGCTGGATGGGGTGTTGAACACCTCTGGGAAGCATATTGAAGTTTTCAACCAGCCTACCTCCCAGTGCTAAAGCTTTAGCACGACCTCCTGGTGGGCTGTGACCTCTAAGAGTAGATGTAAGCGAGAAAATCATTTCCCCATCAGAGCTTACAGAAATATCACGCTGTTAATTTCACAAGAGCCTTAGAGGGAGACACTGTGTCTTGTTAAGTGCTCACTGGTTGAAGCTGCTGCTTCTTCTCTCCAAGACTACATAAAGCGTTTGTTGTTATAAGCAGTAGAAGAATATGGTGTGCAGGTTTCTCTGAATGAGGATCAGAATGACTCTGAATAAACTTGAGAATGTCTGAAGGACTTCTCTGTGTTAATTATTATTTTCTACATTAATCACCAAAATTATACACACTATGAAAAATGAGCAACGTGTGTGGGACAAATCATTCAGCTTAGTTACACAAATAGATGATTAAAAGTAAAAGACCTTTAATGAGTATGACTGAGTTTTTTATATTATATATGTTTGTTCACCATGTTCTTAAATGCATGAATGCTCCAAGTACATTTAATATATTGCTTTATCAGAAGTTTTGAGAAAAAAAGGAGGCAGGTCTAATAAATAACTTTTCCCTGAAACATTTCAATTCCTGTCTTTCAAAGGGGAATCAGCCACTCCTACTATTGTGGAGCACTAAATCTTATCTATATGATAAGAAGGCTCATTCAAGTGCAGCCAGATGTTAGGTTTGTGCCTCAAAAGAGGAACTACGCGGATGTGTGTTTGTTTCATGAGATACAGAAGGAAGAAAAACAGGAAACATGAAGTGGTTTCAGTGGGGTTTTAAATCAGGAGACAAAAATCCTTCCAAACAGTGAGACTTTATTTTTATTTTTTTTAAATACAGCAAGACCAAAGTTACTGGTGTTTAAACACTGGGCGGTCCAGAGGTGGCTTATCTTTGTTAGAAAAACAACAGTTACAGAGGATTATACAAAACGCAGCACTTCTGCCATTAGTTCTTCATATCTTACATGATTATCTATTTACAAATCAGGCTTAGAGCTACTGAACGGATGTTATACATTTACTCAGATTTCTATATTTACAAGTTTATACACAAATCCGCTGTTAGACCCGTTCTGCTGTAAAGAGAGAGAGAGAAAAGCAAAGTTAGTCACACTGAATCAAATGATTTTACTGATCTGTCAGTGAAAATGTCCAAGATTTGATTTTTTTATTTACCTATAAGCTGTTTAGAAGGGAGTTGTTAATGGTTTCATACACTTTGTTGTAAATCTCTTCCTTTG